GAGCTAAGAGTCTAGTCTACTAAAAGCAGCAGCTGAAACTCTTGCCTTTGCTTTAAAGAAGTATAACAGAATTATTTCTTCATACCTTCCCATTTTGAAGTTCCATCTTAAGTTTGTCTGAACATACAACCTATGACAGACCCTATTTACTTAGCTTATTCCCCCTACCACAATACTGCAGTGTCTGCATCTCTCTGATCATTTCTGTGTCTGTGAGAAAGTATCCTAAAATCAGGCACTTGGCAGCTTTGGAATAGTATGCTTTTAAAGAAAAATAGCTTCTCACTAATTAGTTAACTGACCTGGGAGTGGAACCTTGGAGAATTCAGTAGCCTTCTTCTCTAACTCATGTGATAGATCTCAGTTGAGACCTACTGTAGTTCTGATGTTGCAAATAACTTGAACTCACTTTGCATGCAGCGAGGCGATTAGTCTCTTTTCTTTTAGCTGTACATAGACTCCAGGCATGGCTAAGCTGATGGCTAGAGTCTCTCTTCTTCTTGAGTTGGCCAATCCAGTGAATAGAGCAGGATACAACGTCAGGTATCATTTTTGGTGTGGGAGACCCTCTTCTCCTTCTGCATGGAGTCTTTTGCAGAGTTCAGGGTCCTCTTGCCCTGCCTCAGGAATCACCTTTGTCCAGTTACAGATTCCAGCATGCTGGCAAAACTCATTATGGACCAATAATTGGGATCTCAATATGAAGTTATAGTAGAAGACTCCAGACCGAGGTAGACTTTTTCTTGTAAAATCAGTTGATTACCACGAACATATGTCCTCTTCAGGACATGTGAAAAGGAGTTGGCAACAGACTTCCATCTAATGGAATAAAGCTAATTCTCACTTTGCTAAATACAAAGGTCCATCATCAATACCCTCTTTCACACATTTCCACTCACTTCTTCTGACAATAAGCATGACAAGGGAAAAGAAAGACTTGGAGGAAGGCCAACCTCATAGTGAGTGCATGAGGAACTCCAGTGCCCTTTCACCTAGGAATGCTAAAGCAGCTTTGATTTATTAATAATAAACTTCATTTAGCATTTGACCAAATAAAAGTTATCCAGGCTCAAACTACACTTTGGGACATATTCCCTACAATGTGCTTAGAGTGAAAGATAATAAAGCACAACGCTTTAATGCTTTCGCAATCAGAAAGCTTTCAGATATGTATGGAGCGTGAAATGGTTAGGCTAAGACTACTCAGAACAACATTTTATTGTTCCATAACACCCTTTTTACACTCTGTTTCAGGGTAAGATATGATAAGTGAGATATAAGTTCAGATCTATTCTTGTGGACTAGCCAGCGTTCAAACTACCGAGGGAGCTTATAGAGGCTGGAAGCCCACATACACAGCTAGAACTAGCTCCACAATGGTCTGGAACTGAAGATAAAGCAGCAAAACAGATTGAAAGCAACCTAAATTAATACTAGTAATGAAGTTAGCTTTCCAAAATTATAAAAAAAAATTACCAGCACACCATTAAAATTTCACCAGCTTGGTTATGCACTCCAACGCTCCTGGGCACACCAACATTTCACAACTATTTTTCCAAGCGTATCAAACCATACTAATTCACTCACTATTCAGCCCCACACAACTCCTACTTATCTTCCTACTCAGTCACCATTCATCCACCTGACTCACACAGCTCTACATTAGCTCCAAATCAATTCTCCCTACCATTACCAAATTCACCACTTCTCATTTTGCTTCTAGACCCAACTAATTCAATCTCTTCTGTTCTCTATTTATCAATTCTCGTCTTCCTTTCTGTCCCCCAGTGCCCACCACATATTCAGTTCCCAGCCACACTGAATTATCTACATTCAGCAGTACACCTTCAAATGTACAGCAGCTATCTCAGTACTTCTCCTGGAGGAGGCACCCAATGCTTTTCATGACTTCACACTTCTCTTGGCTGCTTCACCTTGAGCAGTACTTCCCCACTCTCCAGAGAGAGATCAGGTATTTATTCCATTCCCTTACTTGCTTACAGAGGAGGGAAGCTAAACTTGGCCCTTTGCTGAAGGAGAATAAAGAACTAGGTATATTCTGTTCAACTACCTAAGCCAAGGGAGAGGAACGCTGGAGTCAGGCAGGAAGAAACAGCTGGGACTGGCCTTAGGAGGTGGCTTAGACATGCTTCGGGTCTGACTTTAGCCAGTCAAATGTTAACAGTCATATCCCAAAGAAAAGGCCGATCTAAGAAATATACAAGACAAGGCAAGAAAGGCTTCCTAAATACACCCAGGGCACTACTTGCAAATGTGAGGACAGTTGCTACTAGTCACCACTTCTAGAAGGAACCAGGGATGGCTAGGGCCATGAGTCCTGATAATCAAGCGTTTGAACATGCAGCTCTATGTGAAAACTTGTGTAACACAAAAGGAATGCTCTCCAGATTTTTTTCCAAGTTTGACACACACGTGTGAAGCAATGAAAGGGCAATTCTGGTCAGAGAACTGGAAAGCCTCATTTCTTGCTGTTCTGCTGGCCAAAAAAAGAGAAGGCACTACCCCATTCATCCTATACAGCGACAACTGGGGCACAGAACCTTACTTAAAGTATGGACAAGAGGTGTTTGTGTTCTTTTTAAGACATTGCTGTGATGAAAATTCCTCTTCGGATAGGCAAAACTAAAAAGTCTAATATAGACTAAATGACATTCACTTGGTCACCAACTCTGGGAGGTGGGAAACACCACACACAAAATAAACAGTCAAGTAATATTCAGCATGGGGTTTTGTTTCATTTGTAGATTTTTATACTAAAACGGATTGAAATAATCTAGTGCAGGGATTGGCAGCCCGCATCCAACCCCCCAGATTTTATTTGGCATCCCCATAGGCAGCTGGTGAAAATATTTAAGGGGGAGGGGAGGTGGTGTGCAGGTGCACAGTCATAGGGGGGCCAATTAGAATCTGTAACCACCCAAATCTGAGCACCAGGGATAGTATTTAAAGTGACATGGGTAGCAGATGGTACAGAGTTGATCAGATCTCAAGGACTGGGAGCAGGAGCCCGTGTGCTGGGTTGCAATGTCACTGGCTCCACCTCACACCACCCAGCTCCGATTACTGACTTCCCCCAATAGCTCCCACAGCTGATTGTGGTTGTAGTTCTATTTTGAGCAAGACGACAACGAACAAAGCATGAATTTACAGTAGCCCTGTAAATATGTAAAAAATAAAATAGTAAGCAATATGTGATAGCTTGCACCTGTGGCTAGCACATAGTGCAGCACGTGAACTGCTCATGATCTAGACAAGGATCAGCTACAAAAATTAGCAGAATAATCATAAAGTGTGTGATACAATGTATTAACCAATAGTAATAAGTGTATATATAAGCTGATTCATGATTACATATGCTGGAAGTGTGGTATAACTTGTACCTCCCCCTACACTTGAGCCCGATCAACTCAAGTGTAGTTTGATTGCATGCACTTAAAGAACCCTCAGCGACAAGTTTGGAGTCAAGCTGAGTTCTTGGGAATCAAGTGATTAAGGTCTCAGGCTACTCAGTGAAGAAGTTCTCAGAAACCACCCCAACAGTGGCCAGTCCCCAACCCCTACATATCTAAGGGTATGTTGAGGCATACCTCTGCCAACAGTGAGGTACAGAAGCATTAACTTTCAGAGTTCCCAGGGGAACTCAATTCCCGCTCTGCCCCACCCCTGTCCCCACTCCACCTCTTCTTCCAAACCCCCACCCCACCTCTTCCTGCCCTTGCTCCTCCCCCAACTTCCTCCAGAGCCTCCTGCCACTGAATAGCTAATCACCAGAGCGAAGAAGGTGTGGAGGGGGAGGGAGAGGAGCTGATCAGCAGCCCTAGCGCACCCATGGAGTTGGCACCTGCGGTGAGATAGAAACCAGAACTGGGTGACTTAACAGCAGAGCCCTTTCCCTGCTGGCATGCTATGGGGTGCGGGGGCTGCAGCCTAACTAAATATGAATAGCACTACAACCTGGCACACAGGGTCCTGTTGCTCCCATTCCCTGCCTCCACTCCGCTCTCCCATGGACATAGGCTCCATTATGCATCAGGCCCGCTACTGACACAGGCTCTGGCTCCATCCTATGCCACTTAGCTCTGGTTACTTCCTCCCCATTAGTGCAGGAGTGTCCTGCCCCTCCCCAGTGCTGGAAGGAGGAGGTCTGGTCAGAACATGACTGGTTCTCAGCTCCCAAACAATCAGCCAGTGCAGAGGCAACAACTGGAGCTGGATGGTGTGTGGAGTCAGAGCCTATACTGATGGGGATGCAGAGTGGTGTAAGGCAGCAACAGCTTTATTAACACCTGTAACTTTCAGAAGACTGGCTCAAATCAACAACAAAAAAATTCTATATGGCCCACCAAAGGAGGCTAGTAGATTCTGTAGTCATCTACCACCTTAAAAGATGTCAGTCCTTGATCTGTTATGCCTTCTACATGAAACATGCCATATAGTTTCGCCCAGTCATTCCTGTATCAAGTCCAAGTCTGGCTGAACTAGAACATATCTTTTAAAGAGGATTTCCAATCTTGATTTAAACACTTTACATGAGGGAGAAACCACTACTTCCATTGGTAAGTTACAATGGTTAATTATCCTCATTGCAAAAAACGTACTTGATTTACAGTTTGAATTTGTCTAGCTTCAGCTTCCAGCAATTTATTCTTCAAAACAAAGGCATAACATCTGTCAATCAGAAATCTTCTCCCTGTGTACACACTTATAAACTATGAACACATCAGTTCTTAACCTCTCTCTTTAATAAACTAAATAAATGTCTTAAGTTTCTTACCGTAAGGAAGGTTTGCTGAACCATTTCCCATTTTTCAATGCCTCCAGTTAGGCACCGCAAAATAATAAATGTAAAAAAATATCAACTTTAATTAAGGTTGGTATGATAAGCTGACATACATAACTAGATGAAGAATGGGGTAAGTAACACTTGGGTTGTATTAAGGCTCCTTGAATTTGAAAACAGTAAGACGGAAAAAGGATACTGATCTGTTTGTGGTCTTCGGAAGTTCTCTGGTAGATTAGCTTCATAGAGTATCCTTGCTTTCGTATTTCCCATATCCTGCATGCACTAAAGAAAGAAGAATTATTATTGTTTTGTACATTGCTAATCTGGGTCTTGGAAACACATTTCCATTGTTATTCTGACCATGTAAGCAAGAGGATTAAAAACTTTTGTGCACTACATTTTAAGAACTGGAGGTTAAATCTTCTAATCACATCCATTTGTTTCATATATATTCTCTACACTCCTTTGAATGTAATATTCTGTTTTTACCACTTGTCTATTCAAGTGTTATAGTCTATACCAGAGGTGGGCCACATCCGGCCGGCGGGACTGTCCTACCCAGCCCCTGAGCTCCTGCCTGGGGAAGCTAGCCCCCAAGCCCCTCCCCCGCTGTTCCCTCTCCCTCGCAGCCTCAGCGCACAGCCAGTGCTCTGACCCGCCACTCCTGCTGGGCAGCGCAGGTGGCATGGCTGGCTCTGGCTAGGCGGTGGGGCTGCAAGCTCCTGCCGCTCTGAGTGGCATGGTAAGTGGGCAGGTAGCAGGGGGTGGGGGGAGAGGGTTGGGTAAGGGGCAGCGGGTTCCAGGGGCAGTCAGGGAACAGGGGAGGTTGGACAGGCGTAGGAGCCCGGGGGGCCTGTCAGGGGTGTGGATAGGGGTCAGGGCAGTCAGGGGACAGGCAGCAGGGGCGCTTGGATAGGGGGTAAGGTCCTGGGGCAGCCGTTAGGGTCAGGGGACAAAGAGGAGGGGGGGTTGGATGGGTCAGGGGACGGGAAGTGGGAGGTGGCAGATAGGGGGCGGGTGCCAGGCTGTTTGGGGAGGCACAGCCTTCCCTACCGGGCCCTCCATACACTTTCGCAACCCTGATGTGGCCCTCTGGCCAAAAAGTTTGCCCACCACTGGTCAACAAACAAACCAACACAACCCTATTTTGCATGTTTTCTGCAAAAGAAAGATAGATAATACAAAAAGCATTTTAAAAAGACCATATGAATGGGAATTATAAGATGTTTCCTGTGGAATTTGCTACTCTGGGTTCATAGAATATCAGGGTTGGAAGGGACCTCAGGAGGTCATCTAGTCCAACCCCCTGCTCAAAGCAGGACCAATCCCCAACTAAATCATCCCAGCCAGGGCTTTGTCAAGCCTGACCTTAAAAATATCTAAGGAAGGAGATTCCACCACCTCCCTAGGTTCACTTAAGACAGCTAAAGTGGACATAGTTTTAAAAAAATAAAATCACTTCTATCTGAAAATTTTTAAACTTAGTATTTCAAAAGTAGCTTCTAAGATTGCAAGTGAAAGATTAAAGAAAAAAGGAGATTACTCATCTGTAACCCAAGTTATTCAAGATGAACTCTACACATTGACACTCAAACTGTACTGGCAACGCACCTCTGATGGTAAAATGAGGGAAAAGCTATAAAAGGACAAGGTGCTCCACCTCGGTTCCTTTCAACCGCCTCCTCAGGACCACATAGGAAGATGTGATTTCTTCCAATTTATTCAGATACCCAGTTTCTCCAACACACACAGAGTCCAGATTGATGGTCAGAGACTTTTGAGATGAAGCTTTTATTAGACATTAATTCAAATAGGAGTATAGTAATACCTTGCAGTCTTAAGCATGCTGTCATGACAAAGAGGCAATTTGTAAATAGCCAAGGGGCAGCAGAAAGGCCAATGGGGACCCTGTACTCTTTTTTTAAAGCCATGAAATGGAGATATTCACAATATGAAGGTATGATCAATGCAAGGAAATATGCATCCTTGAGATCGAGAGCTACAAATCAATCTTGGGTAGACCAGGAAGAAATTACTGACCCAACTGTCACCACAAGGAAACTGAACTTTGATAAACAAACTGAGTTTTCTGAGCTCTAAGATGATCACATCTCACTATCCATCTTTGGGATCAGAAACTACTTTGAGCAAATGCCCTTTTGCTCTGAACTCTTTTGGTACCTCCTTGATAGCCTGAGCTTCCAAAAGAGGTAGAACTTCTGTCTGTAGTAGGTGCTTGTGAGAGGGATCCTTAGGAGGAAGAATGAGGTCGAATAGACTTCCTGCACTTTCTAAAGGATCCACTTCTCTCTGATAATGCTATTCCAGTAATGGAAATAGTAGAAGAGTGAAACTCCCAAAGGTGGACTGGAAGGAGGAAAGTTGGAGAGTTGATTGGGGACTGTAGCTCTCACTCCTCATGTCACACTATCTAAGGCCTGGTACAGAAGAGCATGAAGTAGTGTGCCTGCTCTTGGGATGAGGCTTGTAGCTTTTTCTTGTTTGTTGTTGCTATCAAGGAAGCTGCTATTGCTGCTGCTAAGATAGGAGGACAAAGATGAAGGAGGATTCTGCTGCCTGTGCTTATTGAGACAGGAGCGCCAAACCTCCTTCTTGGAGAATGATAAATACCGACTGATCTGGACAGTAACTTTGTATCCTTCATCTTTGAGGACATGGTTTATTCAGCACAAACTATCTTCTACCCACCCCAGTTTCAGGGAATACACCTTGAGATCTGAGCCATGCACATCTCCTTATGGTATGACAGACACCACCGCCCTGGCAGCAAAGTCTGACATATGGAAAGTGTCTCAATAACTGTGTGGCGACAAATTGTTCTTCTGTAATTAATATCTTTGCTAGATTTCTTTGATCTCCAGCAAGGTTCTTAAGCAGAAAGAGCCATCTTCTTCCAAAGACAGGACTGATAATGAGGTATCACAGCTTGGGAGTTCGATGGCCTGATGCCACGACTGGACGAGGAGAAGATCGTGCTTCCCAAAATATCTAGTTTTCTACCTTCCTTGTCAGAGATGGCACAACATACCCGGATCGGACAGCTACAACCACTGTCAGTGAGGTGGCAGCAGGGTAAGTGTGAAACAGCGAGAACCCTTCAGATGGTAGTTGGTACAGCTTGTCTGCTTTTTTCAAAATGAACACACACTATATTATATATATTTTCATAGTATCTAGGTCATGGTCAGTAGAACCATTCATCCCTAAGAAGAAACGGCAAATCTCATCAGTAATTAGAATCAGGTTTTCTATCATGTCTTGTCAGTGAAATAGAACAGGGGTAGAAATGTAACCTCTCTATACCTATCTGACTCAATACTGGACCCAATCTCACTTCTGATGCAATTGGAAGCAGTGAAACTAGAGATCGAAGGAACCTTAGAACTGAGAAGGGGAAAGATGTCTCCAATGAACCCATAGTTTTGGTATGGGGAAGGGACAGTTCTGAGGACATCTGAAAATATTCCACAGCTTTTTTTCCCCCCCGGAGGGGAAACAGGAACAAGGGTGTATGTTGCTCTTTATTTTATCCCCTTGATTACTCCCTTCATGGATTCTTGCAATAAGACTGTCTTCTGGATCTGATGTTCCTTGAGGATCTGAGGCATGTATCTGAGCATGATCGGGGGGGAAGGGTCTCCTGTCTAGCGGTTAATGCCTACAGCAGCAGTCACACCCTCAGGGCAGCAACCTGGCCAAGTGGATACGATGTGAGGGAAGGGGAGAGAAGAACACAGGCACTCCCACTCCATCAGATTCCGACCCAGGGCCCTGGGAGGCTGTTTTGGCTGCTCACCCATCTCCGTCTGATGTCAGCCTCAAGTCAGCTTCCCTGGGTCACTCCACCCTCAGTCCATACCCCATTCGGCCATGGGGAAATGTCACCTTCTGGGCTTCCAGTCTCAGTCGCTGGGTGCTGCGGCTCCTTTGCTCCCCAGCTCAGTGCAGATTCAGCTCTGGTCCTCCCATGAAGCTCCCAGGGATGGTCTTCCTCCCTGACTTGCCACCCCCTGACTGAGCTGCCTGGCTAGCTTTTAAACCCTGCCTCACACCCATGCTGGCCAGGAGGGGTTAAGAAGAATGAGGAGTCCGGTGGCACCTTAAAGACTAACACATTGCCACCGGACTTCTTGTTGTTTTTTGTGGATACAGGCTAACACGGCTACCCCTCTGATACTTGACACCAGGCAAGGAGGTTAAGGAGCAGCTCTGGGCTAGGGCTCAAGGGCAGAAGGCCCCCTCCTGGCCAGCATGGGCTTTATACACCATCACACAGGGCTACAACTATTAACCACTACACTGGCAGCTGCTTGGCCCTGGAAAAGACTTTTGGAACCGTGAAATTCATTATACTCAGGATACGACTGGCCTCAAGGGATTTATCATGAGCCCCGAACTTTGAATCCTAAACCAAAACCTAGGACTATATCAGATTCCTTGGGGTCAATTCCAAAAAGGACTCCCAATGCTGCTTAACACTACTAACCAAAGCCACACCACACACCACCTGCCCCAGAACTGGGAGAGTCTGATCCAAGTGGGCTTGACAGATAACAGAGGCCAATACATGTACTGAAACTACCATCTGATGACTTGCGATCCTTCAATACAACAGGTTTTACCAGTCTCCCTGGACTCTATGACTGAACCTTTAGCAGAACCTTAACCTGCCACTGCTTAGTTCCCAAAGAGAATGGGTCAGATGCAGGCCTATCTTTAAATCACAGAAATTGACTGGTCAGCACCAGAGGGTTTGGTCACTAGGGAATGCTGCAGCAGAAGCACTTGGGTCTCGTTTTAACACTTTTTATAGGCTTGGGGAGTAAAGGTGCTACATATTGTGCACCAGGAAAGACAGAATGTCCTTCTCCTATGTATACTACGCACATCATATCGGTGTTGGAGGCACGAAAGACAGCAGGAAAAGACCCTTAAATCCTAGCCACTTTCCTTTTAGATCTGCCACATGATCTGTGAGATTGCACCAAGATGTGGAATCTACAAGAGTCCTTAGTTTAAAAAAAAAAAAAGTATTATTTTGAATAATAAAATAAAGGACCAAACTAAGAACTAGCTAAAGGTACTGTTGACTGAAGAAGTGGATATGGTCAGATTTGGAGAAGTTCCAGGCTGTCTTTAACCACGGTTGTAAGGAACTGAGATGGCCAGAGTGCCACGGCCTGTTTTATAGCCTCATCCTCAGACTGTTCAGAAACAGTGAGAGATGGGACAGGAGGGGGCATGAAAGCACTCCAAAGGCATTGCTAGGAAGCGTTCCACCATCAGAAATGCACAGAAGCCACTTGAACTGTCTCTCTCAGTTTCTTTATTTCATATATTTGACTGCAATTCTAATATTCCCTGTATTTTCAGCTCCCAATTTGCCTAAGTTTGTCACACAGCACAATGGGAGAGAAATATTTTAAAAGAATAGGAAAATGTGATTATAAAACTGGAGCTGGCAGTGGGAACTCAGAAGATGTAATTCCTTAAGCTGAACTCCTATTTTGAAGTGGACTGAATTTGAAGATGACTTATTTTAAAAATCAAAGTTTTATAACAGCATGAAATATTCAGGTTTCCTCCCTTCAATTTTTTATTATTAAAAATAGGACAAAAATATGTAAGCACAATATTTTTCCAATAAAATCTAGATTTAGGTGAGGGTGGCACTATAACTATAGGATTTCAAATACACACAAAATAATATGCTAGGAGGTAAGACTCATTTATTTTGAAGTAACATTCTTTCCCATTTCTTTTCAAATGGGCCTAAGTTCTGCATTGCTCTTACTGAAATGTGCTCCACTATAAGGTTTACTCTGCTCACATTGACACAAGAAAGCCACTGTGGTCCTGCTAGGGTCATCCATGCCATCAGGATTGCTTTTGCAGCCAATTTAAACACAGTAACAAAGCTACTACAAAGCAACAGTTTTAATTAAATTTAGCATGCTGTTAATGTCAACGACACAAAATTATATAATTTTAGAAACAAATTTTTAACATCCTGTTATTTCTGCTGTGTTATTATACATACTTCAATACTGCATTAGCACCTAGGAGCATATGTCATACATGAGTACCCCGTTGTGGTACATATTGTACAAACAATATACAATTTTTAAAATATTTTACTGGAACACCCTACAACAAATCCAACTGAATTTCCTCCCAGTCACAGGTACACTGGACCCTCGCTAGAACACGGGGTTCTGGATCCATGTGGGGACCGCATTATGGGGGGGACGCGTTACCATGGTCCCAATTTAAATTGGGATCCATGGCCTGACTGAGCTATATGCGAATCTGCGCTATAGCGATGCGCGCTCTAGCAAGGGTCCGATGTATATGCAAATTATGCTTGCTCTTCTGCCTACATGCTGATAAGGGAACCTGCAGTTTTTTCAAGTATCTTTGAACATTTTATTTCTGCTCCCAACAGGCACACACAAAACGAGAGCATATTACAGTGTAACCATAAAATAAAAACATGAGCACTGGCAGGTTTAAATTCAAACCCTCTAACCTTGACCCATGTCTTTTAAAATTTGCTATTTATAGCATTAAAAAGGATATTCAGACCCAAACTACAATTCATTCTTTATAACAGGTATAACAGACCATCATAATCAATTAACATTTCTTTAAAAAGAACTGTTTACCAGAAGGATGGTACTTTGATATGAAATGCAGAATGTTTGAAGAGAACAGCAACTTCTGGAGTGTTTTGCCAATTTAGGAAATTTTATTAATCACTCAGCTGTAGATAATCTACTGTGGCTCACAATGTTTTAATTGGGACTGGTTCTTTCTCAAATCGGTTTCTGATAATAAATCCCTCTAATAATAAATCAATGAATATTCAGTTGTGGAGCACAAGGTATATATATGGAAGAAATTTAGCTACCATATGCAAGATTGCAACTTGTCAGGTGAGAGTTCTCATATATATTTACTTTAGATATATTAGTTAAATTTTTCTTTGAATAAAGAAATTTTTAAAAAATCCTACTGGTTAGCATAGGCTGAATAAAACAGAAATAAATCTACTCGTGCTATCTTCAAGTTTCAAAATGCTTCTGATAAAAAAGTCACAAATTCAGCAGTACTGTATCAGAAGACACACTAACCATTATCAATATTTGAACTCAACGGTTTATTTCATTTAATCTATATATTTCAAAGGCTCGTTTAGGATTTATCAAAAATTGAGTTTAAATTATTAAAACCTATCTTTAATCATTAAGATTCCTCTGCCTCCCCTTTTCTATTTTGTGAGACTCTGAAGTCCCATACTGACAAAAGAGGGACAACATTGCTCAGTTTCAAATACTCCACCAACTTTTAGATGCTAACATTTAATTCTACAGTCCATGATGTGACTGTCATTTTTGGTATTAAAGAAGTAATAAAATGAGTCAAGTTGCCAACATTTAAAAGTGGATAAACAAGTAAAAAACAAAACCTAGAACTTTACAATATTTTTGGACCTTTACGATTGACAATATACAACTGAATGTACTATTCTCATTCATTTATAACGTAGCTAAACATCATAAACGAATAATTGAAGTACAAAGAGTTGCATATTATGGAGTTTAAAACAAATACCTCCTCCAATTCCCAAAACTCCTGAACAATATTGATAGACAGATGTTATGCACAATCCAAAGTAGCACTGAATGTCAACATGAAAATGGGACATTTTTAGATTAGCATCACAAACCCACTGCAACAACTGAGGTGAGAGTACTTGTATAGGAACCTTGACAAGATGAATGGGAGGAAAATATTAAATTTTTGTATCAAGGTTGTTTAACTTCATTTAATTGAATTCCAATTTCCTTCCAAATACAGCTTAACGAATCACAAGTTTTAAAAAAAAAAATCTAGTATAGCATTCCTGTTTTTAACAAAAATATAGAAATTAAGAACCAATGAGAATCAACCAGTTTTGGGAAAATAACTCAAAAACTAATGAAAACATGATTAGAATTGATTATTTAAATCAAGGTTCTGGGTTGCTTATTTAAATCATGATTTAAATTGGTGATTTGTAGATCAATCCATCTTGAGTAGCTGCACACAGTTACCCAAGTTTCAAGTAAAGTATCTATACTGAGTTTTCTGTGGGATTGTAAAGAAAAAGAAAAAAACCTCTTGTTATTTTGTTCCCAAGTACCAGGCAAGCATGTATATGGGCCCCTCTCTCAGGGCCTAACAACGTGGCTTTTTATAGCTGTCCTTCCAGTTCAAAAATCTGATTTACAAGAGACCTTTTACCTGTATTTGTTCTGGTGTCCATTGGTCTAAATTGACAGACTTTACCCTTGATATATGAACCCCAAGATTTCGATGTATTCCAGCACATCTGATGCAAATAAAGACACCAGTGTTCCAAGAAGCCCATCTTGGACCTAACACAAAAAAAAAAAAAGTATTAGCTGATAATTTCTTTTAAAAATTCCACATCAGGAGATTTGATTTTCTGCACCATTCTAACACATAGTTAAGAGAAACAGGATTGACAGGTACACACTAAGTAGAGAGATGAGATGTGTCTCTATGTTAGCAATATCTGGTTATCAATCATCCATGGAAAAACTAAGTGGTTTTCTCCACCTCCTCTGTGGCAATTTTACCTACAATTGTCTTTCATTTTATAACTAATTTATGTGAAAAACCTTTTAGACAGCACAAGTCAGGAATTCCATGAAATTTCACAGTAAAAACTTAACTCATTAGCAGTAGCAAGGTCTCACTTGCACCTAAATTAATCTAGCTGGATGTGCATTAGATGCAAGTGTCAGTACAAATCACTAAAAAGATGTTTTTGCAATTTTTACCATATCTGAGTTATTAGTAACAAATGCAGCAGCCAAGCATTCATGAGGCATACAACAACTATCTCGATCAGTGGTTTAGTTTAAAAAACCAAAATACACTGCAAAGATATTAGCATTCCAAGTCAAGTTTTTCAGTTTAAGCTTACGTATGGACACACATCATTCTGCTTCAAGTTGACAGTGGTATTTGGGCTGCTCCTGCTGGGCAAAGATTACTCAAAAGGACATGTAAACTAACCCAGATGAGAACATTGACCAAAACATCCAACAATAAAAATGTTGTAAAATAGAATAATACCCAGAGTAGATGAAAAGACCACCAAATATGCTCTAAATACATAAGTCTATATGTATTGTTTATATTATCAAAATTTAAGGACATTCACATAATAATGACTAAATATACCTAGAATGTAGTTTAGTAATTAAAAGCACTGAAGAACTGGTATTTTTGGATAGCAAGATTTTCATCCCACAGAATCAAAAGAAACAAAACCTCAGACTTTGATGAGCATCTAGCTTTAGGGCCTAGCAACCTCAGGAATACTTGGGCTGTGGTTGAGGGTCGAGACTGCAGCTCCAGACATAGGTGGCGGATCATATGGAATCAGTTGGTTGACAAAAACCACTCAACTTTGTAGAGTCTATCAGGGCCCTCAAACTCAATTCTTTGAGTTGGGACCAAAGAAGATTTTCTGCTGTTTCGGACGATCTAGACGATTGAGTAAGCATAGCATGAACAGAACATGAGAAAGAACTTCTTTTCTGGATTTTCCCTCAGTAACACTGGACAAACAAGTCAAAATGAGCACTTGCTGGATGCCAGGGGAGGATGGGCCAGCTGGCTAAAACCAGAATCAGAGGGCCTTCGACTCTGGGATCTATGCCCCCTCCGGGTGTAGTCCCACTGCCTTACAGGAAAGCAGACCTGCCCAAAGAAACACTGCAAGCAGTATTGCTGCTGACCACTGAAGTGATGTCTTTGTACAGCTGAAGTATAAACTCCCAAAGAATGCAAACTAGCTCAGGAATTCTTAAAAAGGTTGCACGTCTCAATCTTCTTAGAAACCAAAACCTACCATCAACAGGTAAGTCATCAGTGGTCTGCTGCACATCAGACACAATGCCCTAATTCTGTAGCTATGAAGCCCTCTTCATGGTCACAGCTGATGCCATAATTCTGGCTGAGGCATCTGCCGCATCTAGAGCGGACACAAAGTCTTGGTACCATACAGGCTTCTGCAGTGAATGACAAACTGGTCCCTGGAGGCTTCTGGCAATGTGTCTGCAAACTTAGATGTGGGCATCCAAATAAAATTGTATTTAGAGAGCAATACCGACTAGTCAGTGATGTGCATCTGCAGGAAAGAGGTAGTATAAAGTCCTTCCTCCCCATCAAGTCCATCCTTTTGGGCTCTTTGTCTACCTTCCCTGTTGTGCCCTCTCATTAGCAGCAGTTACCACAAGAGACTTAGGGGCAGAGTGGAAGTAGAAACACTCAAAATCCAGTATGGAAACTAAGTACCTCTTCTCTGCATGCTTCATCATGGGAGGCAACAAAGTGGAAGTATTCCTTTGTAGGCTTCAAGAGAGCCTCATTTATTGGGAGGACTACTGGCCCTTGAGCAGATAGTTGGAGAATATACAGCAGCTTATACATGTTCTCCTGAAGAAATTCAGCCTGGATCCCTAAGAAAGTGGTCATACACCTAAGGAGACCTTGATGTGCCTTGAAGTACATGGGCATTGAGGAGGCCAGCACTGTAGAGCTGTCTGGAGAGAACAAAGAAGCAGTTAGCTACGCCAACAACGGATCCTGTTCTTTAATCACAGGATCCAGTCTGGATTACTGTGGATGCCTAAAGGGCACAGGCTCGGTGGTTGCTTGTAGCGGTGTTAGTTCAGGGAATTGGAGTCACCAATTGCACAGGGATCTCACTCTAGAATGCGTCAGTGAATCGGACGTGAAAGACCAAGAAGCATCCTAAAGATTCCAAGGCGGTACTGGGCAAATAGATTTACCATTGGTGGCCAGCAGGCACCAGGCCAAGCACCTCTGTCCTGACTGCGAGATCGATGCTGATCCGAGGATGGTCTCTGGTGCCTATTAGGTGACAATTAAAAGGTGGACAACCCCAACCTGGATCTCAAGGAATCCCAGAGTTTCTCCAGTGACAAAGGGGGAGCCAGCCCCAACAGGTTGAACAAGTGCTCTGATTCATCCAAAGCCCAACACAGGCTAGGCATCAGTGCCAAAGAGGAATAGGGAATTGACACCTATGGTATTGAGCAAGACACATTCTCATCTGGTCTGGAGGAAGCACCACCACCGAGGCCAAGGATGGTACCAAGCTCGACAATGGGATCTGCTGACCAGGCAATAACTGTGACAAAGAGCACACTACCATCAAGAAGGACTTCGCTGCTGGACCCAGTGTCTGCCTCAGTTCCACCATGGACAGAGCGAGTTGCAGTGCCGACGAACCCAGCACCTCTGCAACATGGCCAGAAGGTGCCAACAGCACAATGAAAGAAGCAGTAGAAACAATGGTACCAGAAAACTCCTGAACTAGCAGAGAATCAGGGACTGAGAAGCAAAGCAGGTCTGAAGCCACCTGATATGCCATCAGCATGGAGACAATCAGTGCTGGAACTGACATCATTGGTATGGGCTCAAAGGACACCTCATAGCCAGAACTGCAGTTGACAGTATGGGCTCTCGCTGATTTTCCAACAGTACTGGGAAGCAGTTAGATGGACCTGCTCCATCCTGAGTGCTGGAGGGAGTATGGTGCCATCAGCACTCCTCTTAAGAAGACTCTCCCTCATCTTCTGAGTCCTCAAGAGACCCTGATTAGTCTTATGGGACCTCTTCCTCAATGCACCAGAGGAGGGAGGATGATGATTATTCTTCTTGAGGGAAGACAGACTCTGAAAATGGAGTGGCATCACTTGCTAGTTCTGAAGGTGACTGATCAGACAAGGGCCTCAGTGCCATAAGTCTCTTGCCATCTGAATCTTCTTTTTGAATGTATTAATAAACTATATTTGTAAATATAAAAGGGTTCCTATATTGTAAGTGTTGCAACTGTGCACATCAGGGTTCCCGACTATATAATAATTTAAATAATAATTACTGGGCCTGATCTTGGGGCAAGAACCTGTCAACCCTCAAAGTGGTAACTGGGAATTCTTAAGTAATCAATATAATTAATACATAATCTAGGATTATGCTACAGCAGTGGGAAGAAACTGAGGGGGCACTCAGGGTGGGCACCACCCTATATAGCCAAGGTAGGGACTAGGGCCACAGGGCAAGAGTGCTGCCAGGCAAAATTCGGTCTTCAATGAGCTGGGTGCATGCACATCTACAAGGAATACCTGGCTGCATCTACTCAAAAGCAAATGCAAGCAGGGCTCCTAGACTAGGGTCTCTCTCGCACGTCATCAGATATCAACTTACATCCCCTGTAACACTTGTGCAACCACTCTGTCTTTAATAGGGTGCAGAAACATAACTAACTAACTTAGTGGAGAATTCTGTTTACAGAGTGCAAGATGGAAGAGACTGTTCAGTTAGCGGCCTTAACTGTGTTGACTCTACAGGACTACTAGGAATAAGGAGCTTATTTTTGTCACTAAGGGCACGTCTACATGAACATTTACTGTTTGGAAAACTAAGGTGTAAATCTACAGTACTCCAGCGTGGCACACTAATTTCCCGTGTATTCACCTTGCTGTTGTGCGCTAGAAGTTCTGTAGTGACTGCAGTAAATCAATGCACACGAGGTAATTTCTTGTGTGCAGCAGCAAGGCCCACACAGACAGATAGTGCTCACAACACTGGAGCACTACAGAACATCATCCTAGTTTGCCACACAATAAGTATCCATGCAGATATGCCCTAAAGTAAGCAGAAACAACTCTGAATCCACAAATGGAACAGACTTGAGTAAGGGAGCAGAACTGTGACTATGTAAACATGTTACTAAAATTAAATGATACTGCCCACATAAATCCTCCAACCACCCCATAGAAGGTTAGACTTCCTATAGCACAGATGAACATAAAGGAAAGCGCATCAAGAATGGAGAGTATTTCTGAAGTTGCTAGTGTGATTCATCGACTAAGTGGCAAATTACGGAACAAAAACCTGCCAGATTATTAGCTACCTGTATTCAGGTTTCTTTGGCATGAAACAGCTAAGAACTAATAGTATACCACTGACAAAAGCCGACTGCTTCCTTCATAGGAAATAGTCATTACATGGACTACAATTCACTCAGTTTACCACCTGTAAATTAGACCTGTGCCCTCAACTGAGAGGCATTTGGTACTTTGGTAGAAACTATTACTTCCCATGGAAACGTAGCATGCCAGCTTTCCTCAAGCAGCTGTGACACGCCTCCTCAAAATGCCATCTTTCGAGATCAAGAATCTTACAAACTCATCTTGAAACCAAACTTCCTTGACCCCTTGCAATCTAGCTTTACTACTGTTTCACCTCGTCTGCATATGAGAACCTTCACCTAACCCAGACACTTGATCTTTGGTATGGAAGAAAAGCCTGG